CACACACACACACACACACACACACACACACACACACACACACACACACAGTACATTGTATGCAGGATCTGCTAAGATAAGACCCTAGGATAGAAGCTACTGGAAATCTATAGATGAGCAGGAAATGGCTCTGTCCTCTGCAGTGTTCCTATCTACCATGTACAAAAGATCTTTATAGCAGCACACCAGGTAGAAAGAAAAGCAATACACCACAAAGCTCATCCAAACTCATGTGTACCTGAACTTGTTAGCATCAATTTATGCCCTGCCCCTTCTCTGAAACTAGGTTCTTGGAAAATAATATAAAAGTCACATTTGCCATACCACGAAGCCATCTGCTTAACCAACATACGGATCTCTAAGGCAAAAAGTGGCATTTCTCCAAAAGTATTGAGGACAAGCTCAAATATAAAGCCTAGTTGTAGAGCTCTGAGTCAGAGTCAACCTCTGTAATTTAGTTGGTAGAAACGAGGTGCCAGACAGTCACCAATCTATAGCTAAGTGGCTGAAAAATGTTGGAAATAAATTATCATTTTGTTTGCTTGTTTCTGAAGTCTCTAGGGATGACTAGAGTGACCGACTGGGGAAGCTTTTTAGTGTCTTACAGAAAAGATGAGAGAACATACATTTGAGTAGAAATACCCAAGAGTGAATCCTGGCACTGGAGTAAAAGGCGTCCTCTCATACATCATGTGGTCTTGGCAAACATTTAGAAAATCTAAGCTTAATACTTTAAATCTCTGTCAAAATTAATTACCTGTCATAAATATCTCCCTCCCCCGCCTACGCACCGACCACTGCCTCAGTTTGGGCAAGCAAATCGAATTTCACTCTGGTCTAATGGCAACAGATGGCTCTCATATTAAGTAATTTGATTTATCTGACAGCAAATAGCATCCTGTTCAAACAATTTTCTTATCTCCCATCATCTGCCAAACCAAGAATACCAGTGCTCAAACTAGGGGAGGTTAAGCAGGAAGACGCCAATCACTCAGGAAAGAACTCCAAGTATCAATATTATTTCTTGGCTATAGAACTTCCAAGTAACCTGGTTCCTGTAGCTGAGTCTGCACAATTCATTTTATAGCTCATCTCATTTATACTTAGTGGGGAAGCCTTCTCTCACACGTGTCTGGTCTTCATTTCCAGACACACAGAAAGAATCCTGTAACCTCATGCAGAGAATGGAAAAACCCAGGAAGAACCCATAAAGAATATTCTGTCCAACAGGAACATTTTGGGAAATGGAGATGTAAGCAACCAGGGTCCCTCTGACACAAGGTGCACTGACCTAATGATACCACCATGACAACTGTCCTTCAGGGCTTTTGAAAGACCTACCGCCAGTCACTGAAGGCTAGAGCCCTCTGCCAGTGGTTATTATGTACTAGAAAAGTACTTGCATAGTTGTGTTTAAAAAGCTTCCACTGAATATTCTAAGCAACATAACAAATGCAAGAGCTAGCTGCACACTGTCAGAAATACTAGCACCCCAAACATCTACACAGCCCCGCTTTCATCATTATGATTGTTCCTTTGCATCTAAACTCCTGGAGCCGCTTCGTATGCCCCTCCCATGATCCTTTCTGTCCTCTATCCTGAGCCTACATGTTCATTCTGCTTCTGTTTTGGCTCCTTAGCCATAGCTACTGAGAACAGACAAGGAAAGCTGGAATCTCCTTTGCCTGGCATTTAAGGTCTCATAAAACTTGACCTTAGCCTATCTTGTAAATCATATGTCTTGCTTCTCCCTGATAGGAATCTCTTTGGGTCACAGGACACTCTAATAATAGTGCAATCCCACAATCAGGCAGTGTTTTTCTATCCCTGGCTGTCTTCTCTTCTCTCTTCCCACTCAACCCACAGGCAAAACGCCAACCCCATATCTCTCTATTCATCCATAGTCCTCCCAAAATTTAAGACCTAGCTCGTGATAAAGCAGGATTTTCTCCCTTTGGGTGTTTTTCAGCATTGGACATGGTAAACACTATTTGCCACAAAAATCCAATGAGTCATTGAGATTACACGGTTCAATCTTTATCATCTTCCCAAGTCTCTAATATTGGACTTAATACTGTACTTATGTATTTATGCATTTTTTCCTCATGTGTACGTATCTTAATAAAGAGGCTGCATGCTCTTCAAAGTTAAAATTTTAATTTGATCTTCTCTTCTATCCTCAAATAATCAGTCTTTCAGTAGAGATACTATATATTTAGGCTAATAAACACACCCCTCCTCAAATGTATAAAGAAACCTAGCAGATGAGGTCTTTGGTAGGAAGTGTTGAGAAAGAGGGAGTAAATTCCAATACAATAGTGATTCTCAACCTTCCTAAGGCTGCCACCCTTAAAGACAGTTCCTCATGTTGTGGTGACCCCCAAGCATAAGATTGTTTTAGTGATACTTTATAACTGTAATTTTGCTCCTGATATGAATCGTCATTTAAATATCTGATTTGCAGGATATCAGATGTATGACCTCCACAGGGGTCTTGACCCACAGGTTGAGAACCCCTGCCATAGAGCCTCCCCCACAGGAGCAACAAGAGATACTGTGCTTACTGACTAGGTGATGCTAAAAGGTACCTGGTTCTCTCCTCACTGGAGAACTGGAGAGAGAAAGGAGTCTCTCAGTGGGGACAAGCTCAGCGATGGCCTAAGATATCTGCTTTCAAGTTCTAGACACTTTTTAAAAAGATGAGCGCCATGGTTGTCTTTTCCTGCGTTGAGGTTCATTTTGGTTGGTCTACACCAAAAAGGCTGTAAACACCATGCCCATTCAGAAGCTGCCCTGGTTTTAACTGTGTGCTTTATTTCAGTGGATAATTCCACCTGTCTCCATGGGCTAACTCAGAGCAGTTTTCAAACAAGTCACAAAACTTCAGATAAGTTTCAATCATTTCTACAACCAACATTCTTCAAGAAAAAAATAAAGCCATTGTTATAGTTTTTAACACGGGGGGGGGGGATTGTTGACCTTATTAACAGTATATTCAGAAGCACATGGCTAGGAAATACCTAAATATATGAAAATGTGACTTTTTCAAAAATACCACTCTCATGGGAATTTAATTGCTAAGGAAGCTGAGCTGGGACAGAAAGTATTTCCATACGATAGAGTATTCTCTACTGAATTGTATGTAAGTAAAGAGTCCGGGAATATGACAGCGAGCAAACTTGGTATGCAAAGAAAAAAGACATAAAGGTCCTACCTTGTGTCTGCTTCTTGTTCACAGCATTGTCAGCTTTGTGTCGTTTCTAAAGTTCAGAACAAAACAAAAAGCTCAGTGAAAAAAGTAAACAGAGATCCATTGAGTAAAATGGTACTCAGAGTAAACAGAGATCTTTTAACTTAGGCCTCCGAGTTTTTGTCTTTCTAAACTCATAGATGGGGGTGTTGTTAGACCATCCCCAGCTTCCTCCTACAGTACTCCTCCCTGGTAGCACAGGCATGGGACCCTTGGAAAGTTTGTAAGTAGCAAATTGGTAAAATAGTGCTCAAATGGTACTAGAAAAAAGGAAGCAAAAGTCAGAGTTAGTCTATTGCTTAAATAACTCACTTAGATTACCCAAGAGAATTATGTATAATAACTACCACTTAATAATGGGATTAAAGTATTTTCAGCTTTTTGTGAAACTCATTATCTGATCAAGCTGAGTACGTCCTTCATATCTTGAAGGTGCACTGATATCTGTCGACAACTAGAAACAAGTTCGTCTACCACTTTTAGCACAATCTCTTCTCTTCGGTGTTCAGAGTACCACCTAGTTCAACCAGGAGCCACCGAGGAATAGATTCTAATCCTCTTCATTCCCAGAGCACCCACAGGTAAAGAGTGAGTGGGTGATTTTTGTCTAAGTTGAGACAGGTAACTTTGAAGAGTTACATAAACCAAGATTTTAGAAGACTTAACACAAAACAAACAAACAAACAAACACACCCACCACCAGCAGCAGCAACAACAAATAACTAGAAGGCCATTAGAAAGGCAAGACGCTCATGGTCAGGGGCCACCCTAGGGTCCACTCTCTGTCATTCTTCCTGGGGCTTCTGTCTAATCTTACAGCATGGAGAAAAGCACACCAGACACGTGTAACATGACAGGAAAGTGTTGAGTGAAACTAACCCTTTGTTTTCAAAGATCTTATCTTAGAAAGCCCAAGCCTTCACTTCGCTGTGAGAATTGAGAACAAATACACACAAGTGCCTAAGTTTTCCACTCGAGGAAAAATAAGGTATTCAAGAAGCGTAGTGAAAAAAATTTCCCAAGAGAAACGTGTGGAGTCAGCACACCTCTGAGCCACAACTGTAGCTAGGATGAGTGGAATTAGAGTTATCCACACTAACTAATGAACTATCCGTTCATACAAGTGTCAGCCACTGAGCTACTCAAGAGACAAACAGCACTGACATCTCCTTGTGAGGAACATGATTCTTAGGTGTCTCCACAGCAAGTCTTCCTCACTGCAAACTACTCACTAATTAATGTGTAATAGTAAAGAAATACCATGGGAATACTATTGCTTCTAATTTACTAGGATGTAATTTGAAATAAAAAAAAATCTTTCTATATTTATATTAACAACAAAAAATATAATTGTAAAGGTCCAAATACTCTTTTTGGTTGCTGTTTCTTTCTTTAATAAAGACTATAAGAAATTTTGAAATTAATCCAAAGTAAGTTTTGGCCCAACAATTATTTTTAAGTGCAAACTAAAATTAGGTAGCAAGAGGAGGTATGGATACATAGCTCCCCACATGTACATCTATGTGAGCTTCTAACTGATAGAGAAAAGTTAATTAATGAAACATTTCAATCAAACAAGAAATGAAACTGAAAGTGGCCTTAGACATTAGTTTCCACTTACAAAAAATTCCTACAACAGAGTCTCTGTGTCTTCAACCTTCCGCCACCTAATAAATTAGGTCAGTGTGTCCAAAAAACAAATGTGTTAGAAATACAGAAGATCCAGCTTCTAACTTTCCAAATACAAATAATTTACATTTTGTATGATAAATATACCATTATTCCCTCTAAAAGTAAAAATTTACAAAAATATAGTTACTCTCTGATTTCAAATTCTACTGTCTTATAATCAAAATTCACCCAGTGTTCCTGGGAGCTGGTGAGATGACCACTGTTTTCTACTTTGGATAGAAAGTTCATCAATAAAGTATCATACAAACAGAGTTATGAATTTGAGGACACAAGGGTGTCCAACTCTGATATTTTTTAAAGCTACTTCCCCTAACAAGGCCAAAAATGCTACGTTAAATTCCACTTAGAGGACAGAAAGCTGTGTCCTTGAGAGGTCAGTGATGGGCTCAGACCCCTCATTCAGGAGACCCTTTCCTTCCCAGGCGCTGTTTCTAACATGCCTTTGGTCTGCTCTTCTGAGATGAGATGAGTCAATGCTTAGTCTCTGCTCTTTCTCTCTTCTCCTCTAAGTTTGCCCAACTTTTTGACACCAAGTCTATCACTAGGGCTGCCTATAGTTCCCCCATCCATCCTCCCACTCCTCGCTCTCTCTGTTTCTGTCCCCTTCTCTGTTTCAAAGGAGCCTTGAAGTGGGAACATGCTGCAGTCTGTTACCTTAGCCCAGACAAAGGAGCTATGAATCCCCATAAACTCATCTTCACAAATCAGAAACTTCAAAGGGACCTGTACTTCTTTTGCCTGTCTAGCACTCTCTCTCTCTTTGCTAATTATTTACTAAACACTCACTGGGCCCTCCAGGCTCCATTAATACTCCTGAGGGTACAGCAATACACAAGAGCCCAAGTCCCTTGAGCTCCTGGAGTAGACAAGTGGTTAGAGACAGAAAATCAGCCATATAAGTAGAGGATGTAGCGTGTTGGGTAGTGGTAGTTATTTATATTGCATATATTTTTTTTATTGACATAAGAAATAAAACAATACATTATGTTAATCTGCAAAGGGTCTGGAGTGGATGAGTCTTTACTATCTCACATACAGACAAATATTTGATTTTATTCTAAAAATGTACAAGCAATGCTAATATAGGATATAAGCTTGCCTAGATTATAAGCTGTGTTTTTTTTCCTGAGATATAGGTGGAAGACATACTTAGTCTTCACAAACATCTAGTTCCATACTTCTATGGATGCAAAGACAGCCTAAAGACATGCCATTAGTTATAACACCTGCAAACAGATGTTGTTACCATTGATGGCCCAAGCACGTGAGAGGTGCCATCTCTGTTCCCTCTGCCCTTCTCTGTTACAATGAACCCTATCATTCTATCCAGCAGAGATTTAATTCAGTTTGCATCCCCAAGTAACTACATGGAACAAGGGTACTCTCTGCCTGTCTCCAGCAACCACAGTGTCTTTCAGGAAGCAGATAACAGACATATATTGGGCCACTGACATACTGAATGTGATTAACAGCATGACAGAGTTTAAACACATCCTAATTTGTACCCGAAACAATGACAGGCACCTATGCAGTGTCCTTGTATCCTAATCTATATCCTAAATGATGACAGGCACCTATATAGTGTCTTTGTGTTTCTGTTGAGTGAGCGTGTCATTGTATAAGCAGTTCTTTATCCAGTTACTTAAACTATTACTTCTTTTATTCTCTCTTCTGGAATACTATCTCAAACTGTATAGTTGACTATATATTACATGTTAAACAATCCCTACAGCCAGTGTCTATCAGTAACAGTAGTTTCACTAAAACCTCTAGGAAGTGAAATCATTACTGCCTCACAATATGAAGGCAATATTTTCTAAGAGCTGTCTGATTAGCTTCTTTCTAATGCCATCCAATTATTGTATTATGCGCTATTAAAAATACTTCTTGAATACATTCTATTTACCGTATATTTTGAAAGACAGTGTGTAGATACCACAGCTAGAGAAATTATAGCTTTGCTATAAAACCAGAGAGAAGACTGAGGAGGCAGGGGAGAAGACTGCTAACATGCAAGGCTCCATCCAAACTGCCATGACTGAACTCTGGGACTCTGGCTCTCACTGGTTGACCTCTGGCGAGCAGCTTTGGCCTTCTGACTATTCGTTCTCATTTGGAAACTTAGAAGGAGATCAGCAATACCTTAGAGGTCTACTATATATTCTAATAAATATAATGGACAGGGAACATACACATGGAATTCAGAAGCACAGTAAATGTTACTTATATTATTGCTGGTGACTCTCTGGATTAAGAACACAACCTGGGATGGACTTTTGATCCCACCACTTTCTGGGACAATGTCTATGACCTCTTAAAGCCCCAGCTGCCTTGCGCTTTTCCTTTTAAAATTTTAAAACATTCTTTTTAGTAGAGCATCTATACATGTCTTTTCAAAAGACCTATTCATATTTTAAATCATGTGTATGACTGTGTATCTGTGAGGATGTGTGAGTGAGTATGGATGCCCACAAAGGCCAAAAGAGGATATCTGATCCCCTGGAATGGGTTACAGGCGAATGTGAGCTTCCTGACACTGGTGCTTGGAACCAAACTCAGGTCCTCTGCTGGAGTAGGACACATCCTCAAAGCACTGAGCCGCCATCTCTCCAGATCTAGCTTCTGTGCTTTAAATGGAGAACTCTTGAAGTTATTGAGTAGATTAAGTAAAAAAAAAACAGATAAAGAAGCAAGCCCAAACCCAATAGCACAATGCCTAATGAATTACATGTTCTCCAGAGAAATCAGGTTAAAGAAAGAAAAGAGTACATAAGGCAAAGAAAGAGACAAAAATGAGAGTGAGGACCAGTCCCCAGGGGCTGCCAAATCCAGCCATAGTTTAAAGAATGGAAGTGAGAGAGAGGGAAGACCTCGAATCTCCAGCTTGTGGGTCCAAGCAGGATGTCACCAATCAAGGAAGACTACAGTGTCTTAGACACATGGGCAGAGTCAGGTAGCCTCAACAACTTCTGATACTCAGAGCCTGGAGACCACAGATACAGCATCCCATGACTCCAATGCTAGCAAGCATTTCCAGTCAATGTTTTTTTTTTTTCTCTTTAAAATAATATCAATAAAGTAACATTGTAGAAGTAATATTATTATTTGTGAAATTTGGGGCTGCGCATTGATAAAGACTTCCTCAGTCTTCCCAACTCTGACTTTTTAAAGCCCAATAGGAAAGAAGCAAAGAAATATAATATAGATATAACATAGAAAAAGTCCAAAGTTATTTGGGGGAGTTCATTTTACAAAGGGGACATTGACTTCTTTTTACCATGGAGTGCTAAAAATAGCAAACTTACTGTCTCTTTCCATAAGACAAGATAAATGGAAACTCGGATACTAAAACAGAATGAGAAGAAATCAAGGCATCTAATAAGGTGAAAACCACAATATTTAACTTTAAAAATAAAGTACAAATAAAACCTCATTTATATTTAATTTGGAGATTATTATTTCAACTAATTAGAAATAATGATCAAATGTAATTTTCTCTTCATGCCAGTTTCTATATTTAAGTTAATTTCTTCTGTTAATAAATGATAAACCTAAGAGAGCACTGTACTAAGAATTCCTCAATATTAATCTGTTAGAAACTGACTTCAGGCGAAGAGATACAATTCTATTTACTTTTAAGTTGAATGGGTATTTAAAAGGGTCGATACTATAAATTAAATACCTTAAGAAAATAATATTTGTAATATATAATCGAGACAACTCATTTATAAAAAAGTTAAATACTTACAATATCTTCTATTATCTCTTTGATAGCTGCCACAGCTAAGATAAATAAGAGAGGAACCAGTGTGGTGTAACGACCAGTCGGCGACACATCAGGAATTTGCTGAATAAGAAAAAAAGGCAAGATAACTCCATTGAGAACCATAACGCTTATTTAAAAAAAAAAAAAAAACTAAAAGAATAATGTCACAGGCTCTTCTAAAACATTCCTCATTGATTTGACTAGTGACTAGGTGAAGATCTGGAGAACAAGCTAAGTTGCTTTGTGGTAAATTCACAGCACATAGAGCTCACACAGGGTAGGCTTATAAAAAGATAAAGTAGCATATAATAAAAGATATCACCATCAAAGTGTCTTAGAAATGCAAGAAATATCTGATCTGTAGTAATGTCCAAACAGTCTAGTAGGAGTAAATCAATCATGAAATAATGTTTATTTCATTATCTCTTTATGCTATCTAGATCAGACAGTAATGCTTGGTGTCAGAAAGAAGACGAGGTGGACACAGCCCAATGTTAAGCGTAGTCACCTCTGGTGCTGGCGTAATTCAACTTTTCTTTATGCTTTGTTGGATTTTTTAACTCCTTTTGCTAATAGCAAACATTTGCTACTTTTTAAGGCATTTTTCCCTTTAATCATCTATAACATCTAACTTAAGTGGTCATTTTTATAAGTGATCATTTTTATAGTGAGATGTTGGATAATTTAGGTCTCTCCTGTCTTCCACACCTAAAATGCACACTTCTTGCCATAGAATTTATAGGCCATATCGAATGTTTGGATAAGCCTGAACCCAAAGTCTTGGAGGAGTGCAGAAGACCTGACCCTGTGTGCACGCAGCAGCAGCTCTGAAAACGCACAAAGGCCAGTTAACCTCTGCCTTTCTATAAGCCTCAGGGGACTGGTGGAGGTTTTAACACAGCATTTCCCACTTCCTGTACACTTGGCTTCAAACAGAGGTTGGAGGATGGACGGAACTTTACCTGGAGCAGGGCAATAAAGAGAAAGAACGAATTGGCCGCTCTTCTGAACTGAGAATAGAGGAATCTCGGAAGGAATGTGATCACGTTGTATTTTGCCGTACTAGAAAGCAAAAAAATAAAAAAGAAGCATAAAGCTTCGTCCCTCCCACAGTCAGTGCCCAGGTTTTCAAAGTCCTCGTCCCACCACAGGAGTAATCAGATAACATTATTTGTGGACAGTTTCAAATTTGGAAGCCATAGTGAGGGGTCATTAACATAAATGAAAGAGAGGGAGAGAGGAACTGTCGAAGACTGGATCTCATAGGCTTGGCTTTCTCCATAACATTGTTTGTCCTCTCTGGTCTGTTATCATGCCGAACAGTACTAGGAGTAGCTCACAAAGAAGGGCACCTTTAGATAAGATACTGGACTTACACATCAACAGAAAAACATCAGCCTTTAAACAAGACCAGATGGTGCAAACAGCTTCTAGACAAGCCAGCAAACAGCTTTGCTGCTGTTCTAAGCTGCACTCTATAGTCATGCTAGGTACAGCGTGAGGACTCTACACTGTCGAGAATCAGTTAAGACATGAAATACGCTGGTATTGGAAACATCTAGGCTTTCCTCTTGCTACTAAACAGAGGAGAGATTAAAGACATATGCCATACTCTTCAACAGAGATACTATCAGAGGACCTACAATTTTGTAAATATTTGTCTTAAATGGGTACATCTCAAATCTGGAAAATCTGCCCTAGGGAAACACCAGGATAGCAGCTGAGGTACTTGTGTGGCCAATGGTGACTCAAAACCTAGTGCTTATGTGGGACCTTTTCCTGATTCTTAAAATCAAAATCTTAAGAGATGCAGTAAGGGAGACATTCTTGAAGCATCCTGTATTGTATATACATGCGGTATCACAGCTATAAAACCCACACTTTACGACTCAAGCTAAAACAAACAAACCAAAACCCCCAAAAGTTCTTGGTATAGAGTTGCAAAAATTGTTTCTAAGCTGTTAAAACTTGGCATGCAAAAGCAATATACCATTCCATGAACAGGTTTAGAAAGATGACAAGTGCCCAGGGGCAGCTTTGATTATTCAGAATCACTAGAATACGTCCAGGGTCTTACTTTTTGTTTTTATCCTTTTCTTTGCTTTTGGTTTGAGATGCTGGCAATTGAGCCCAGAGCTTTATAAAGGCTAGACAAAATCATTCTGCCATGAGCCACACCATAGCCAGAGTTTCTTTCATGGATAGAAAACAGAGAAACAGCAGATGCTCCTAACTAAACAGAGCTCCTTGTAAGCAGAGTTCCCCCTTCTCTTCCTCCCTTTCTCCCTCCCTCCCTCTCTAAAATTGGTTTTCACTATATAGCTCTGGTTATCCTGGAACTCACTATGTAGACCAGGCTGCCCTCGAATTCACAGCAATCCAGCTGCTTCTGCCTTCAGAGAGCTGGGATTAAAGGTGTGCGCCAGCATGCCTGGCATGCGTTTTCTTCCCATGCACACCACCATGGCCTCGCCAGCCCTTCCTACCTGACATGGTTGTTGCAGAATTTTGTCAGCTGAGGCTGGTTGATGAATATGGTTCTCACTTCCTCCTGATCAGCCAGAGAGGTCTTCTCTGAAACATCATCTGTCTTCTCATAACCTGAAAGACACACATTTCTTAGTGGATGAGAAGTGTTTCCTTTTATTACCCTTATCCAGGCCAGACCCACACTTCAAATCTATCCTACAGTATGATACTCTGATAAGCCACAGGCTGCCCCCTTATTGGTGGGGTTTCTTTTACAACAAAGAGTATAAAGTACATATAAAATTTTTGTTAGGGGTGCCATTTAATATTTATGTAAAAAAGATCCCCTTCAGAAACAATAGTGTTTATTCATCTTTCCTAATACAAATGCCCTACTTGGTCTCTTCCATTTCATAAGAAGATAGCCAAAAGTCAAAACTTTTGGACTAGTTTATGTGATAGTTTAAGTAAAACTCAAAGTAATCTAAAATACATTTTAAAACTTGCTGAGTATTTCTGTTTCATTTTGGGTGAAAATAGAAAAAAATTAAATATTAAAGTTTAAGTAGGCAATCCTTGAAATGATCCAACCAGGTACATTCCTTTACTCCCCCACCAGTTAGAAGCAGGGTTTCTAACTTCATTCTCAAGATCATCATAAAACTGTTACACCACCCCACGGTCACTAGAGCAGTGCTGTGGTTCCCACTTGGCTCCTTGCAGCAAGACTGACAACACCAAACAAAACACCAAACCAATAACAACAAAATAAACATACAAGAAAACCTTTAAACGGTGCATTGTAATTCCAAAGTGAAAACTGGGGTATAGGGGCTGTTGCCAAGACCTTAGGTCTGGTCCCCGGCACCACAAACAAAATTAAGCAAGCAAACAAACAAACCAATAGGATCTAATTATATCCTGCTCTGCAGTGAAAGGTCAACAGAAACATTGTATCTGAGAAGTCCATTTGTTTCCTTTTCCTCCTTTCTGTGCCAACTCTTCCCTTAAAACCTGCTGGCTTGTGGCTTTCCAAAGTGTCCTGCACTGCAAAAGCCAACAAAACTGCTCTGAGTCCACAGCCATGTGCGGCGACTCCTCCCCCACTGCCCACTTACCAGGAGGTTTTCTGGGTCTCTGGTTATGAGTCAGCCTTTCCCTACCAGAACAGGAGCTGCTTGGAGCCATAGATGGTGGGTTACTCATCTCCACACCAGTTAGCAAACAGCAGGTACTCAACAAATGTTTGCTCAATAGACACACCCCAAACGACATAGAAGTAGTGGCCCCCCGTCACCCTATTTTGAAGCTTCTCCACCCACTGATAAAAATACTAATGATAACCAAGAGTTAGTGACAAACGGTAGCAACAAGCTTGCCTATGGGACACAGAGGTATTGGGAGTAGGAGGTTCACTGAGGTGCTCCACAGTGGAGGAGGGAAGATGCCGGGTAGGGGTGGACCAGACATCACTCTGACTAAGCACTCAGGCCAGCTCAAAGAAGACTTTCCATTGCTGAGAAAGCAGTCTGAAGCCTATTCTCTGCCTGGCAGGAAGCCACTAAGAGCTTTCCAGGATCAGAGTTACATTTTATCCCCGTCGTCTTGAAGGTCACAGCTCCAAGGTAGGCTCCCATTTTTCCGTTTTAGAAACGTTGTTTTTGCCCACAGTTGTGGTCTATTACTACATCATAATTTAGCTACAACACAAGCTTGATCCCCTACTTTTGTATTATCCGAATTTCACATGGGGATTGGGAGATGGATCATTTGGTGAAGCGTTTGCTGCGCTAGGGTGAAGGCCTGAGTTTAGATCTCCAGAAATCAAATAAAGGCAGAGCGGCCATGGCAATGCACCTACAATCCCAGCATGTTGAAGGTAGAGACAAGATATGCCAAGAGCCAGCGGACAAGCTAAACAGGCCGAATTGTCAAGATTAAGTGGGAGACCCTGCCTCAATATATTAGAAGGTACAGATGGATGAGAAAGACATTCCTGAGTACTGTCTTTACATGGGACTTCCTTACAGTTCTGCACTTTTGAGAGCCTGGCCCTGGGTTATCTTTTTCAAGGAGCGATGGATCGATCAGTCCTCCTGAGAGATTTGAACTAGGGTCTCAAATGGTACGTGAGTAGGATCTATATTACATGTCCATCACCCTTCAAACTAAATTTGTATTCAAGGATTCCTATGGTATTCTCCTGGGTCAAAGGGATTGGAATCTAATCTTTTTATTTCTCACAGAAGAACCTGGGTAATTAAACCAATTCTAGTGGATTAGCAGAAGTCCTAAGAAAATTAGACAAAGAACTTCTCTAAAAGAGGCTGCATCTAGAATGGAGACATATTCCTAAGGGTAGGACCTTTGAAAGGGCTGGATGGTTCTAAGTGTAGGTAACCCAGGGGTTAGAGAAAAAGCTGAGCAGGAGAGATGTATTTGAAGCTGGGTCATGGAGAACTCTAAGAGCTCTGAGATGGCGTGATACTGAGCTCTAAAATACACTGATCAAAAATGATCCTGAGATCTAAGATGCACTGATCATATGGGGTAACTGAGCTCTTAGATGCGCTGACCAAATGTAATACCAAGAGAAGGGTTTTTTTCACTAAGAGTAGACAATGAGAACCTCAGGAAGCAAAACTTCCTGGTAATTCCTCCACTCTCCCAGAGCACTGCCATGGAGCTTAGCAATGACATGCAGAATGTACATGGAGGTGAAGCTCTAACTCCCATTGAAAGGACAGAGATAGCACATGCCACCTTATATGATGGTATATCTGATCCCCTACTGACTGTTAGTTCTAAAAATGCATAAGCCTCATAACCTCAGACATCTGCAGGACACTCTAATGAAGGTGTCTGTTGTGGTCCAGGAGTCACTCCATAAACAAACATCGATCTCAGACAGACACAGATGGCTTATTGAATGTACACCCAAATAATGATCATATCAGGACCACAAAAAGGACTTGGGTGCCTAATTATGGTACTAGTCTGTTCTCAGGACAGACTTTTTATAGGAAAAACTAGATTCAAAAGTTTAAAAGGCAAAGAGGGGATCAGTACTACATTTTGGCTGGCTAACTAGATAAAGTATTATCAGCTAATCTTTATGCTGAGTGTTCCTGAGTGAGGTAAGAGGGGTGGTGGATGGGTAGTGAACAGGGGGATTTCAGAACATTTAAGATAACAGATCGTGGGCTGGAGAGATGGCTCAGTGGTTAAGAGCACTGGCTGCTCTTCTAGAGGTCCTGAGTTCAATTCCCAGCAACCACATGGTGGCTCATAATCATCTGTAATGGAATCTGGTGCCCTCTTCTGGTGTGTCTGAAGACAGCTACAGTGTACTCATATACATAAATAAATGAATAAATCTTTTTAAAAAAAGATAACAGATCGTGAGTAGTATAATGATAACTTTTTGGCTTATTAGTAGCATTCTTCAGGGTCAGCCACAAAAACCACAACAAGCTAATGCGCAGGTGCAGGAGGTTCTGGCCGGTGGTCAGTTCTGACCTAAGCTACAGCAGTTCATATTGACCTTTAACTTGATGGGTCCTACCTAAAGCTTTATGGAATTCCTTAAGGTTAACAAATCTCAGGATGTACAGTACAGTACAGTACAATATGATACAGGATGTGTGATCAGCATGACCTTGTTTCGAGTCAAGTTGTTTTTCTGTGTCAATGACCTTGTATTGAGTCAAGGTGTTTTTCTGTGTCAATGACTGGCAGGCATGTTACAGCAACAATAGGAAATAGCTGGAAGCTATGGAACAAAATGGCTACAGCTATTCTGGGGGTGGGGATGGGGGTCAGAGCACAACAGTGTCAGAGGGAAAGACCTAGAACTTTGCTAATGTGGAAGGCAAGAGTTTGTTACTATTTTAATTGGATTGAAGCTCACTGTAGATAATGGCAGGTCTGAATATATCAATAGGCTATTAATCAATATTTCATCAAAAAAAAAAAAAAGAAGAAGAACCAAAGCTTTTATTTGAACCACTTTGAGGGCAGTGGGTCATAATTTTGACCTCATCCTTATACTGGGTTAGAGTTCAGAACACATTTTCTTCATGTAATTTGATAGCTATGTGCACCAGGCAAATGATTTCATGTGTCTGTGTTGTTTTGTTTTTAAGGTAGGGTCTCATATCATCTGGCCTTGAACTTGCTGTTCCTCAGAGAGTGACTCTGAGCTTCTTATCTTCCTGCCTCATTTCCTGGACCCAGATGACCAGTCTGTGCAGTCTTCCTGGAGAAACTTTCCATCATCAGTCATGAAGGCCACATAAAGAGCTGGGTGGTACCTGAATCAATTCTTAGTGTGTAGTGGTCGTAAAGGCAATCCAAGAGAAACGTTCCTCTCATCTCAACACTAGAGAAGTCAAACTAAGATGACATGGAGATACCATGTTTCTTTCCACACACAGTTCCATCTCTGTCTTAAGGACAGAAATTACATCCCTTAGGAGTTTTACGTCCCATAGGAATTGGTTGGTAATCCAGGAAGCTTGTTTGATATTTTAGTGATGTGTTCATTTAAGCCATTAAACTTATTAGCAGTTCTTAATCTACCTGTCCAGATTCCTACAGACTCCTATCACCTACATTGAAAGCAGGAGGAAGTTGGTGAAACCACATTTTTAGGATGAGTTCCCAGGCAGGCCCTCTCAAGCCACCTTTGTTTTGAAGCCACACTAATGGTAAAACTGGCTTGGAGAAAGAAATGCATCTTTATTATGATATCTAGTATGCCTTGCAGCTTTTCCTACTATAAAATTGCACAGAGGGCACACAACAGTCATACAGTCAATAGAAATCGACCCTGAAGCATCGATTTACTGTTTCTGGGACCTATTTTCTCTAGGTTAGTACCAATAAGGTCTGGATTGAACTCTGAAACCAAAATCCCATTGAATGTATATCTGGTAAATGTCAAATTGCACAATAAGATGTATTAGGTGGTTACTCACATTAGCATCCTAATTTTCAAAACAGAAATATCGTATGTCGATCTCCTGGAATAATTGGTATGAGAGAGTTTATATACAAAGTACTTATAAAACGCTTGGCATTTGCTAAGTATATATATTTTTAAGTCTATTATGCTTAAAGCATGAGCAGTG